GAATGGCAGTGTATCTACCTTCTGTGAATGTCTCTATACTTTTTTTCATAAAAAAAGCTGATTTGTTGCTCAAGAAACATTATTATTATCAATGTTGAAAATGGATTTGTGCGAAAACCATATTCAAGATTAGATTCTTTGATGAATAGAAAGTTCAAAAGAAAGCATTTTTAATGCATTTTTATGTAAAAGTCTTTACCCTGTCCCTTTTGATCACTTTACTCTTCTCGTTGAATAAATGTATGAATTTCTTACTGACCTTTGAATGGCAGTGTATCTACCTTCTGTGAATGCCTCTATACTTTTTTTCATAAAAAAATATATTATCAGCACAACAATGTGAGTGAAAAGAAATTAACATGCATTTCTTGAGCTTCACTGAAAGAATATCTGACTGTCTGTACAAAAAGTCACATGATCAATGTCATTCATTTACTTATTTGACATTAAAATATTTATAAACATAAATGTATTTAAAAATATAAAAATATTTCTTTATTTTATAACGTCTTCCATTAATATTTTCAATATTTAGCCTAAAAAAAAAAAACTTTCCTGGAAAATCTGAAAAGATCCCTATTATCTTGTAGCTTTAGGGCAGGTATATTCAGCACAAAGATGTACATTTAAAATATATAGTTTAAATATATTCTCAGAGTCTGACGCTAAAGTTCTGTGCTCCAGGCAAACTGACGGGAACTGATGCTTGTGACAATAAACCACAGGCTTTAAACACACTGTGGGACATCTTAGCATCCCGGCCCTGCTGTCCCCACAAACAATTCATCTCCAGTTTTTCATAGAACAGTACTTGTGGTGCACTGCTGTTTGCTATGTAATAGATTTACAAAAAGTCCCCGTCGCCCAAGAGCACACCACAGAATTACAGTGTAAAATGATGAGAAAAGCTCAGCATTCACCACCACACAGACCATTAGCCCCTTCACAATGTGACAGGATCTCCTACAGTGGTCACATTAACATGGACCCTACTGAAATGAATGAGGTTTAACAACGGCAGATATTCTGACTCCTGTTCTGTTGATTAAAAGCATTTCATGTTGAGTAAAATGCTGAGGATAAACTACAGGAGCATTCTGTAGACAATGCATGATGGTGAATGCTTGAGCATTGATTTCCCTGTAGATGTTTTTCACAAGTGCTGTGCAGATTTTGAGTAGAAATCTCTAGTAATGTCTTAAAATTAACCTTAAAGTCCCCATTAAATCAAAATTACAGTTTTTTGGGTGTTAGTATCAATATATTAGTCTTAAGGTTATCTATAAGGCAGTGTGCTCCAAAACAGTGACAAAATTCGCATTTAGAAGATATAAGCATTCAAAGCTTTCAGTTCGTTACTTCCGCCAAAACGGCTCAACGATTTTTTTGACGTCACATCGTACTTCAGCTTCTCATCAAACTTTCTGTCCAATCAAATGCTCTCTAGAAGC